CCAGTTATGTGTTCTTGGCCCTGCTCTTACCTTCCCTGGGACGCAGTGCTCCGGTCGCACAGCAGGAACGACAGGCTCAGAGGCGCTAAGCGGGTCAGTGGAGGCGGCCCGGGCGACCCCGCGCAGCAAGCACCGGGCAGCGCGAGTGTCTGGGTGGGAGGAACGCAGCCGGGGCCGCAGCCGAGGCCCATCCGTCCCGGCCACGGGACCCACGCGCTGCCCGACACGCAGCTCCCAGCAACTGCGGCCATCGGCCAAGTGAAACGCAAGACTAAAATTCTGTTCTCGGCTAGTGGCCACGTGCTGGTCGTGCCACTGCCATCGTCACGGAAGGCGATCCTGGACACCGGTGCAGCAGAAACGGAAGAGCCACACGCGAACCGGGGCCCAGCCGCCCTTCTCCACTCCCTGGGGACGCCAGCGGGCAGTGTGCCCCGCGGCGTTCGCGTCCTCGGTGGTCACCTGGAATCGCCCCTGCGGCAGTGCCGTGCGGACAGTCCACTGAAATCACGGTTTTCTCGCTTCGTTCCCCTCCTCCCAGGGCCCCACGATGAAGCCGCGCGCAGCGCAGCCTCCAGCAAACGCTTGGAGGCCGAGGCGAGGCCGGGCCGATGCTCAGCGCGCACAGCCCGATGCCCTTCCCGGCGCCTGCGGGCAGCTGAGACGCGGCGCTCGGAGGCACACCAGGCCCCTGCGGGGATGGAGACGCAGAGCAGCATCACTGAGCAGGTCCTCGTTGGCCAAGGGCCTTTGGAGACTAGCAGGTTCTTACAGTGTTTCAAATGAAAAGATCAAGGACCACACTCCCTACTTTTCTTTTCCTTTAATGCTTAAATCTGCTCTTTGCAGGTTTGGAAGCAATAATTTGTTGCTGTCATTTGAGAGGAAATACTGTATTTTTAAAATTTATCTTAAGAAGGGTTTGGCAAACCTTCTCTGTAAAGAACCAAATAGTAACTATTTCAGGGCCACAGGTCCCCAGCACAGCCCCGTAACTGCTGTGGTGGCCTGAAAGCAACGCAGACAATATGTGCATAAGTGGGCCTGGCTGGGTGCAAGGAAACAATTTCTAAAGTGGCCCCTCAGCCTTAGCGTGCCAAGTCCAGAGCTAGGCCACGGACACCGTATCCTTCCTCACTTTTTCTGTTAATCCTTACCCAAGGATATTTTCCCATTGATTTTAGGCAGAGTGGCAGGGAGGGAGGAAGAGAGAAACATCAATGCGGGAGAGACACATCGACTGGTTGCCTCCTGCACGCACCCTGACTGGGGCCAGGGAACCAGCCTGCAACCCAAGTACGTGCCCTTGACTGGGAATCGAACCAGCAACCCTTTGGTGTGTGGGCCAACACTCTAACCACTGAACCACACCGGCCTCGCCTCCCTCCTCCCTCTCACCCACAATGCTTTTCACTATCGTTTCTTTATTTTAATTTTTAAAAAATATCTATCTTTATTGATTTCAGAGAGAGGAAAGGAGAGGGAGAGAGATAGACAGAAACATCAATGATGAGAGAGTCATTGATCAAGCCCGCAACCCGGGCATGTGCCCTGACCCGGAATAGAACCCGGATCGCCTGGATCCAAGGTCGACGCTCAACCGCTGAGCCACGCCCGGCCAGGCTATTTTAATTTTTGAACATATATCACATCCTGACCACTGACAAATGACCACTGACTTTTAAATGTTTAATTTATAAATGTCAAAATATATTTTTTCTTTCATTTTATTAAGGCGTTAAAAAACAAGTTTTCTTTAGGATAACCACACACACCCCCGACAGAAAATTGAGAAGAATGCACATAGCATACAAATTGTAAAAGAAGCAATTAAAAACAATCCGTGGATCTAGTCAAGCCATTTAAAGTTTCTTGGTTATTTTACTAATTCATGAATTGAGTTACAACTTAAATAGGAGCCCAATATTGAGCTAAGTGCTTCAATGCCATTGTTTCTTAGGTGGACATTACTGTTCGAGACAAATAAATTAAGGTGAGCTGTTTGGATGGCTCAGGCAGCAGGTACACAGAGCACCTGGTGACGTGTGTGGGCAAAAGTGGCTCCGAAGAATTGGTGAGAAAACAGAACAGTCATGAAACTTTAGAACTGGACGTGTCCTTATGGAATATTGTTAACCTCATGGCGTTGTGGTTGATGAGTGTGGCTGTCATCTCTTCTTTTTCTTTCCCAGAACACACTGTTTCTTCTAGCTGGACCTCCAGTTCTCCTTGCAGAACCCC